GTAGCTTCCAAGACGACAGCTTCTAAGACGAGGTGATCTTCCTTCTTCCACGCTCGAGCGCGGAAGACAGAGAAGGAAGGGGGGGCAACATGCAAGGTCCCGCTCGTGCAGGCCGAGATCTAGATCTATCGACGGGCACTGGTCTGGGTCTGGGCCGTCGCTGGTCTGGCCATGCACGAACGCCGATCAGGGTGTTTGGCTGGACGCGATGCGGCGACGTCATGTTTGATTGGTTTGCATACCGAATTTGTTTGCAAAGGACGCGACTGTGCCGCTTTGCAGGATGCTTTACGCGTCGCTGTCTGCATGCGCGATAGAAGGGAGTTTGGGGAGGAATGTGGGATGCTTTCGGGATGTTTTCATCTTCATTGACGTCTGAGGTCTTTGTGCGCGGTTGCATATAGGCCACGTTGTGGGTAAAGGGCTCTGTAACTTTGGGGTTCGTTCACCAGCTGCCTCCCCACCCACCACCACTCTCACTCTCACTCCTCTCACATCACCACATACACCCCCGCCAACTCCGTCTACCAGCGCGTAACACACACCCACCCCTCTGCGCACCATGGCAGACACCGAGCCCAGCCTCGTCGCCAGCGCCCTCGGCACCGCCGCCTACGCCTTCACAAAAGTGCAACCCCTCCTCCCCGTCTACGCCCACATGATCCTCGCCTCCCTCTTCCCCATCTACGCCGCTGCCCACGCCTCGCTCACCCGCCCCTCCACCGCCGCCAAACCCCCTAAAAAGAGTCGGAAAGACCGCCGTCGCGACGCCGCCGCCGAAGATGAAGACAGCGACTCTGAAGACGAGGAGGAGGACGAGGAGCCGGAGAACGAGATGGAAGGACTCTCACCGAGACATATTATCTTGTTCCCGCTGTTCGCGGGCATTTCGCTGGCGACATTGTATTTCTTGTTGAAGTGGCTCAAGGACCCGAGTATACTGAGTAAAGCGCTTAATGCGTATTTTGCTGTTTTTGGGTTCTTCGCTGTGACGAAGTTGGTTAGTGATGTGCTGGATATTGGGCATTCGATTATATTCCCAAGGAGACATGTGCTCGGCGGCGCGCTGTACCATGTCGACGGCAAGGCAGGGAGGGCGGTGCCTGTCGCAGGCAACACCAAGGCCAGCGGGCCCATTACAAGCCCGCTCCCCGGCTTCCTCGCGCGCATACCACTTTCCGATGGAGCGAAAGAATGGCTCTGGGCAGACCGCGCGATGCCCTCCAATAAGTGGACGCTGAAGCTGTATCTTGAGCGCGCGCTGGCGGGCAAAGCTAGAGTAGGCGCGCACACGCTTGTCGGTGCTGTGGTAGCGCTGGCTACGCTCGTCTACTTCAACCTGGTTGACAAGACGTGGTACCTGACCAACCTGCTTGGTTTCAGTTTCGCATATGGCAGTATTCAAGTCATCAGTCCGACGACGTTTGCGACTGGAAGTGCGATACTCGTGGGGTTGTTCTTCTACGACATCTACATGGTGTTTTTCACGTACGTACTTCTCCTCCTTTCACCCGTTCGCACAGAACACTGCTAACATCATTTCTTCTAGTCCTCTCATGGTAACAGTAGCATCCTCCCTCGACGTCCCCATCAAACTCATGTTCCCCAAACCCGGCACCGCCACCACGCCCTCGGGCAAGAACGCCGCTGCCATGCTCGGTCTAGGCGATATCATCATCCCTGGACTCATGATAGGCCTTGCACTGCGCTTCGATCTCTACCTCTTCTACCTCCGCCGCCAGAAACGCGTCTCAGCAACAACGGAAGGAGCCGAGGACACAGTCGTGAAAGCGGAGTTTACACCCCTGGCAGGACGATGGAGCGACCATTTCTGGACGCACTCACTCATGGGACGCCCGCTGTGGTCTTCTGCCGCACATCAAGAAAACGAGAAAGAAGAAGCGCCGTTCACTTTTCCGAAAACGTATTTCAATGCCTCGCTAGTGGGCTATGTAGGCGGTCTGGTCGCCACGTTCGCCGCGCTGCATCTCATGAACCACGCGCAACCTGCTCTTCTCTGGCTCGTTCCAGGCGTGCTGCTCAGTCTCTGGGCGACTGCGCTTGTAAGGGGTGAAATCGCGCTGATGTGGCACTACAGCGAGGAGATTGTGGAAGAAACGACGGAGGCGGGTAAGGAAGCGACGAAGAGGACGGGGCAGCTGTTCAAGGAGGAGGATGTCAATGCTGTTAGAAAACCGGCGACGGGGAAGTCGAGGAGGCCCGAGAGAGAGGTTTTTTCCTTTTCTATTGAGGGGCCGAGGAAGGTTGGTCCGACGGCTGGAGCGAAGATGGAGAGAAAGAATGAGGGGAGTGAAGCAGGAAACGGTACGACTGTCCCCACGACTGTGAAGAGTCAGGTTTGGACTGGTTCTGAAGCGCATAGTTCGGCGAGGGAAGAGGGCGGTGTTGAACCTGCTGGAAAGCGGCTTCGGGTCAGGTAGGCGAAGATGAGATATTTGTGAGAGAGGAAAAGAGAAGGTCACGTTTGATGATTTAGTCGTTGTTGCGATTACAATTCGGGTACCAAAAAAGTCCCATGCACCGTTGCTCGCAACAACGACTCGATGGATTCAGAAATACGTCTGATGATACATCTTATGCATAGCGATGGAGTTTGGGAAAGTCGGTATATCAGCATATACGGTTCTGCAAGACAATGTGCATTCTACTTGCGCGGTCTTGTGTCTCGCGGAACAAAACTCGACAATTATTCCTTCATCCCTCCTCTCGTCTACTCGAATCTCCTATCCTGATACCCACACTCTAATCACTTCTCGTCTTTCTCGTCTCTCTCCTTTCTCTCCTTTGGTACTCATATCCCCAACCGCAGACAGTTCCCTCCGTCTCATCCGTCTCATCCGTCTCATCCACCATCATCATCATCATCATCATCATCATCATCATTTCCCACACCCCCCGCATTTCTCCCCACTGCCACCTTCCCCGCGGTTGATATGTGAGCAGTGTGGACATAGCCATTCGGTCATGTGCGGCATGGTGGAACTTTTCCGGCGTTCGGTATACTGGGATGGATTTGATTGGGGGGCAGATGGGTATTTTGTGAGGGGCTGAACAATGCTTTTAAGGCGCACGATTTGATCGGCTTTTGAAGTTTTGCGGGAAGTTCGAGGGGTTTTGGTCATGCTAGAGTTGTGCGGTTACTGCGGTGGTGGTGGGGGTGGTGATTTGGAGGGGAGGTAGTGGTACAGGGTAGGAGGGTAGGAAGTTTGTGTTCGAGAGAAGGGGATACGTCAAGAGGGAATATGTCAAGTGGTAGCACATTGTTTGTTGGACAAGAGAGCTTGTTTGGGGGTGTGGCACATTGTACATATCGTCACTGCGCCACAAACCAAGGAAGTGAGATGTGGCATGGAAGAATCGGCATGCCCAGAGCATACTTCAACACCAACCCAGGACATCTCGACCACATACCAAGCCCCCCTCCCCTCTCTAGCAAGCCGCAACCTCCTCGGCCTCCACAGCAACACCCGTCTTCGCCTTCATCCCCATCTCCCCCTTCAGCCCCAACAAAAACCCCGTCGAAACATCCACCGCCGAGCTCTCCCTGCCAAAACATATTACCGCGATTTCCACCTCCTTAACCGCACAAGCCACCGCCATATCCAACCTCCCATGCCTCCTCCACCCCACCGCCGCATCATGCCACGCAAGCCCCAACGCCTCCCCCACCAACCCCTCCTCTTTCAGCAACCTGCACAACTCCAACGCGGCCTTCGGCACAGGCCGTCTCCACAGCTGGCGCCGCCCCGTCCGGATCCGCGCGTCCAGCACCACCATTCGCGCGCGCCGGGTATCGCTGCTGGGCGTGGGGTCGCTGCACGCCGGACAGGCGCAGGTAAATCCGTAGGAAGATAGTTTTGCGCGCCGCGAGAGGGTGGTTTGGTAGGGTCGCTCGTAGCTTAGTTTGATTTGCGTGTCTGAAGGGATGGGCACGATGGCGTGGATTGTGATTTTTCCAGTGAGCGGGTTGAATGCGAAGGACGCGTTGGGGATGCAGCTGTGGTTGAAGCGCGCGGCGAGGGGGCAGATGGATGTTTGGCTCCCGGTTTGCCAGGCGTTGGAGTTGAAGATGTCGATTACTCTTGCCTCTTCTTCTTCTCCATTCTCTTTCAATTTGTAGGTTTTCTGCGCGTATAGGGATAGATACTGGGTTTTTTGCGAGTCGGACAATGAAGCAAAAGCTGAGACTACGGCGCTGTTGCTGCGCGGTTCTGCGACGCTGAATAAGGGTGTTTCGCTAAGGATGAGCGTACCCGGCTGGATGGTCGTGGAAGCGAAACAGCCTAGTCCTTCGCCTGGTGAGGCGCGGACTGTGTATACGCTGTCCATATCGCGATTTTGTAGAGATGGTTGTGGCCCTATTAGTTGCGTCTCAATCTTTGGTCCGCGGTGAGATTTTCGATTGTAAGTGTATAGTTGCTGCGATAGTGCAGCTTGAGGTTAGGAGATGCATTGTGTTCGATATGTGTATATACGATACTGTGGCGGCTGTTATGGAAGTATATGGTAATCGGAGGCAACAGTTTTTTGCAGCTTTGTCACCTTCGTGTTCGGCCGTGCCTGTCGAGATGGATGCGAACTAGCGTGGTGACGTCATGGGTACGGCTACTTTCTTCTCCTGCGTGTGAGATAAGTCATCATGTGGCGCTCTCATTGCGAAGACTGAGCCCTGGAGGTATTCCGACCGTGTTCAGATTGGATTGCGCGTAAGTCTTGATAAAGTGTCAGCATACGCGCCCAACGCGGGACGCGTCGTTAGGGCATTGCGGGCCCGCTACTCCCTTCCGTATACTGCCGTCGTTCCTCCCTGATTGTCACAGCGGGGCTTCAAGTTCGCAACGACGAGTCATTTCTTTTGTCGCTTCCTCAAACCGCGTCCGCTCTCTCTTCCGTCACTTCAACCCTTCCTCTCATCACTCTCTGTTTCCTCATCTGTGCATCACATTTTCTTTAATTCCACTGCTTCATCACGCGGCGCCATGTCGGACTTCCAGGGTACCCTCAATGATCGCGTCAAACGCGAGCCCAGCGACGAACCACAGGGACGCGTCGACAGCTACCCACAGACCTATCACGGTTATGACGGTTATTACAGTAGGCGTGAACCAAGCGGTGACCGTCAGGAACGTCCCCGCAACCGCTGGGGCGACGACGTCAAACGCGAAACAAGCCGGGAGCGAGACGACGGTCCAAGCAACCGCTGGGGAGATGAACGCAGACGCGAGCTTAGTCGTGACCGACATGATCAATCACGCGACCGCCGGGTCGATGATCGCAGGCGCGAGCGCAGCCGTGATCGCGAAGACCGTTCACGTAACCGTCTGGATGCTGATGATAGACGCGATTCGAGGCGCGCATTCGATGGTCGAACCGAGTTATGAGTATGAGCGTCGTCTCCGCGGCCCTTGGGGTGATCCGGATGAGGAATCGATAACCGGTCGCGACGACAGCAGAGAACGTGAATGCAGCCCTTTGACTGATGACGACGAGCATGCCGACCGGGAGGACAGCGCGAGGAGTATCCGACGCGACTTGACTAAGAACTACACCAAAGAGAACGACCCGTACTGGTACCCGGGCAAGGTATAGATCAGAGAGACAATTTCCACAACATGTTGCATGCCTAACCGCCACAAGGGAAAATACTCGCACCCCACCAAGATGCCCTCTCAGAACCCACACGACCCCAAACCACGAAACCCGAAGCGCACCCAGAGCTGTCGCACGGAATCGTCCGGACACCGTCACCAACGTTTCGAGCGGAAGCATGAGCGTCGAGAGGACGAGAAGGAACGTCTGCTTAGAGGAGACCTTGGAAGTAAGGAGTCCTCTTGCTGCGTTTTGCTTACTCTATACGATGTATTGGCTAACCGTACTGTCTTTCTACAGCCCCGCCTCCCGACGCCGGTCCCAAATGGGCGAAGAACCGTATTGCGACTTTGGAGAAGTACGCGAAGAGGACAAAGAAGAGGCACAAGAAGCATGAGAAGCGTATGCGCAAGGCGGCAGAGCAGGGTTAGGCTTGAGAAAAGAGCCAGGAGCGTGGCGACGAGTGGATATCGGAGCTGGATGTTGAGCGCGTAGAAGCGGTTCACTCAGATCATGGCTATGCTAGATTAGCAGCGACATGTATTATCTCGATATACTTTTGTCGTAGCTATGGCAGACGTTTCGGATACACAGAATAATGCGAATGCGTTCACATCATCGAATGAGCCGTTCATCTCTTTTTTTCCCATTCAATTCCCGCATACGTTGCAGACTACGGTAGCAAAAGAATGTTAGTATGGAAGGTTATAAAGAACCTTGACGCCTACATTCAAGAGAGTGCTTTTTGGGTGTACGTACTCCATTATCATGTATGAAGCAGAAGGTATTTAATGACTGTTTTCCATTACGTGGGGTAGTCATGTAGACATTATAGTACTCTCAACCGCGACCATCTATCTAGTCTCTACCTAATGTAGCCCTCTCCATGGCCTAGGTCTTTACAACAAACTTCAGGCCCATACTCTCTGCTGTGTATCTTGACAGTCAAGAACGCAGTTGGAAAGTATCAGATGAGACTTCCGCCTTGATCAACGTACTGATCTTGACATGCTCTTAATGGCGTAGATCGCAGGTCGAACGATCTCTCGGATATCTAGAATGGGCGTATCTAACGTATCATCCGTTGCCACTGCTCGAATCGGCATCTTCATTGCCATCACTGTGATACCCATACATCAGGGCGCAGTACCATCGGCAGCATGCTTCATGCGTCGCTTTGCGCAAGAATCGTACGATGAGACGACGGGGACTCCAGACTTAGGAGGCAAGATGTAGTTTTGCGCGTCCAATTCTCGTTGGCTGTCGTCATCGAGGTTGTTGTGCTACGCCATGCGTGTCGATCGGAGGTGTTCACAAGCAATAGACGTCGCTATGATGTCGGCCATAATGTCTCGTAAGAAGGCTGAAGTATTGAGTAGAGAAAAGTCTTGAGATTTCAGCAGTGTCCCAAGCCACTTTGCAAGGCTATCTGGGTAGGTATGCTCGGCGCACATGATGGAAGGGCAAGAGCGCTAGAGATATCGTGTTTGCTCTCTTGGGCACATCACTTCACATACTCTTCGAAGTATGCATAACCCCCGACATGGCAAAAAGCGGTGTAGACGACCCTGGCGTCTACATTTTCGTTTCAATATATAGAGGCATGATGTTGCTGCTGTACTACATGCGCTAGCCGACGTACCCACGACCAGCTCCGCGGCAACATCATCAACGACCAAAGATGCCCTCGAGGTCAGCTGTATAAGAACACGTCCTCGCACGCAGACAATGGAAGCATCGCGTTCATCATACGTGACAACTCCTACATCACCAATCTTTGCTAAACCGAGCACTCAAACCTCAACTCACCAAACTACCCACCATGCCTGCATCTAACCAGGGCCCCAACACCGGTAATACTGGCGGTGGCTCCAAAGGTTCTACCCCAATGAGCCAGTCTGATGCTAGCAGGATCCAATCCTCACAGGTGAGGCACTCCGTCATGCTTCGCTGAACTATTCATCTGTTAGGATGCTAACATTCTCTTCACTCAGGCCAAGTCCGGCGGAGACATGTCCTCCGGCGGCTTTGCCGCTCGCGCTCAGGGCGCTGGCGATCGCAATGCCAATGCCGGTGGCCAGCAGAGCGGCGGCACCAAGAAGTGAGATCTCATTCGAGGCACACTCTAGGAGCGACTCAAGACGGACTGGGAAGGACTTTCATTGAGGGAGGGCTTACTTTATGCATTCAGAATGTCTACACGTCAGCTTTGATCGGGAGTAGATAGAAAACAATGTGAATGCATTCATACAATAAACGAACGAGCCGTCAATCGCGTTACATACTACAACAGCAAGAGAAGTGTGATTTGCAGATTTACATAGGACCTTGACGTCTACGTTGACGCTGGGTCTTTTTACACGTGAATAGTTCATTGCTATTTAGTCCTCAGACTCCGCTTATCCGCGACTGACCGCCTAACCTCTACTTAATGTAGTCTTGTCCATGCATCCTGTAGACCCCATTGCAGCCTTCAGACCACGACTTCCTCTCCTACCATCCACAACCTAAATGTACTGAACAGTGACCTGCGAGCCGCTGTTGATAGTAACATCCGTGTAAACAGTGCTACCCTGCTTAAGATCAATAATAGTAGCACCGCTCAGTCCGTCCGTTCCACCAGTGCTCAAACTAGCACTCGCCTGCGTGAAGACAACAGTACCAAAGTTGCTCAGCGCAACCAAGCTACCTCCAGACTCAAAGTCCTCCACAATCCACTCTGCGTTCTGACGGCACAGGACGGAGCCGCTGGGTGCGCTAAGCGTCTGGCTGACCTTCTTTCCCGTGCTCACGTTGGTGAGTGAGACTGTGCCCTTGGTGGTGGAGGTAGCGACAATGTCGACTTGGATGACGTTGCCGGCCTTGACGGCGAAGTTGCTGAAGTCGTAGGCGTAGTCGGGGTACCACTCGTACCAGGCGTCGTAGGAGACAGCGCCGGAGCTGCTGACGGTGAAGTCGATACCTGCTTGAAGCAGACCGCTGCCGCAGGTATCGCCGTCGATACCAACCCAGGCTGAGGAAGACTCGGTACCACCGGAGCCAACGTGCTTGGGTGTGGGCACAGTGAAACGTCCGGTGGCTGACTTGAAGTAGCCGGAGGAGGGTGTCTCGAGGACGGCACCGGACCAGTTGGAGGAGTAGTCGACGTGGGCGGTGGTGTTGTCGACGTCTGCGACGAACTTGGCGTTCTCCTTTGCGGCCGTACCAACCAGAATCATGGGCTGGGTCCTGTGACGGCGACTGCCATCAGCACGGGATTGAACGCGCTCAGCGAGGGACGAGGGACGGGCCAAAACGGAGCCGGTGACGGCGGCGAGGATAGCGATGGAAAGCTTCATATTGGATGATGGGACGAACTTGAAGAACTGAGAATGGAGTCGAAGCGAGGGAAGAGGTTGAGAGTAGAACGATAGACTGCTGAAGCGATTGCTGCGTTGATGAGTGCAGTGTTACCAGCGGTGCTCGACACTCTTTATATACTGACCATCTCGAGCTCGTACTTCATGTCGTATGCCTCTAGGCACACTTATTATACGATGGCGCGATGGTCCAGATCCAACACTTGATGATACCTTCCTAATACCTACTGGTCAGGCGCATAGATCCAGCTGGACTCGCCCTCCATGCTGGACTGGAAAGCGGCCTACAAGATCCATCAGGTCGAACGCCGAGATACGAATTACTGATTGGTAGCCCAGGTCGTTTGGTCAAGGCTTCTTCACCAAGAGATCGGCGAGTTACCGGACTGGACAGGGGTATGAGTGGACAGTCCCGCTTGTGTGTTGACTCGGTAGGTATCAGAAGACCCTGATAAGTGATTTTCCTGGTGTACGGGACAATGTCCGCCTATCACATCACTGTCAATTCGACCACATGTGCGTGAAAGTGTCCGACTTCGTGGTTGTCGTGCTTGCATCGTCAGGTTCTCCTGCCTTTTTGGGACAACGCCCGAACGCTCTCTTGCAGATTCGACAGCGAAAGTGAAAGAGGTGGTGGGAGATGGGGTGCTCGATTGTATTGTGAGATCTTTGGGGATGCCGCATCTTCTTCGTGTCGAAGTAGATCTGATCTCCCTGAGTTCCTCATAATTTCCATCAGCCCTACTGCGCGATGGCATTTCTCACTGCACCTCGGCTCTCGACCACATCGAGTTTCGAAATCGCTACTGTCCAAAGACCCTATGCAACAACGGAAAGCTCCCATAGCGTAGATATGCAGGATAAATTAACTGCAGCAGAAGCTTGTCGTTGCTTATCAGTTGGCGGGTGACTTGGCAAGGATTGGTGTGGTGGTGCTAGTACAGGATAGGAAGTTCGTGATAGGTGTTGCCCGGCGCGCACACCTGAAGGGTAGTAAGCCATCCATCTGCCAAGTTAGCTTGCGAAAGCTTGTTCGCGGCGAAATGCTTGAGTTGAGAAGGTGTGATGGGTGGTGTTGAAGGATAGCTGGGTCGTTCGAAATAGAAAGGAGGAAGGCCCGATCGGAAAGACCCGCCGTGGACATTGCGCCATTGGGTTCGGCTGAGCCTCGGTATTACGAGCCAGCCACACAAACAGCCGGACTGCGACATCGTTGCAACGCCATCAACAGCAGGATTCTTGAGATTACTATGAGGACGACATCCTAGAATGCAGTGGAGGATGACGAGAGTCTGAGTCGCATCACTGCCTACATTGTTGTTGTACGCCAACAATGGACACGTATAGAAAGTAATGTATGCTTCGACTTGGGATGTGAATACGTACTTCCTGAGATCTGGGGTTCTTGTCAGCGTCGACAGGAAACGTGACTGGGCTGTTTCGCATCAAGAATGCCATGGCTGCGAGCGTGCGGCGTAGCAACTGCGGCGTCAGCACCCTCAGGAACGCTGCCTGATTATCAGCTGCACTTTGCTGAATATCTACCTAGGCATCAACACATTCAGACTCTCTTTGGACACCAGCGTCTGCCATTCGAATATGTCAGCCTCGCAAGGAACACGCGTCAGAATAATTTTCGAATTGAGGACTGCATGTACAGTCTATTCCTACCCGTCCCACGGCGGCATCATCATGAAGAACTTGACGAACCCCGAGCTAGAGCTACTGGGCCTCTCGCGTAAAAAGTCAGACCCAGGACCATTCCCCGACCAAGAGCAAGAAGACGCGTTCGCACTACGCATGCTTCACCTGGGCGCGCGTTGGTGGCCATCCCTCAAGTTCTACGAACGCCACACAAGAGACGACATATATCCTTACGGTTCAATTTCATATCCTTACGGTTACCACTTCCCATCCGACCTACATGTTGCCTACACGCCGACCGGCTCAGGAGTCTGGGTCCTGGCGGTATGGGCCGAGAACTCGCAAACATGGTTGGAAGAATACGATGCGCCCCGAAAGCCAGAAGACTGGGTGGACTTGGCGTATTGCAGAACAATGGAGGAGCGATGTAAGATTTTGGAAGATTTTGGTGCGACGTTCTATGAGGATGTCGAGCAGTGTGATAAGCTGCCGTGGGATTTGGATGAGGGTGTTAGGGAAGGTAAGAGATATGAGGAGTTGCTGCGGAAGATGGAGGATGATAAATATCTCGACGATTGGATGATGAGCCTATGATTGAAAGGAAATCCGCCATGTGGACGACGTTCTGGGATAAAGTACTGGCTGACAGGGCATCTGTCGTGTTGATGCATACATACCTTTTATGATGGAAGAGACAGAATGTATACAAGACGATGTATTCTTCCACGTACCATGTGTAGTACAACATGAACGATAATGCTTTCTTGTTGGCGTCCAAGGCATGGATTATGCCATGCACTAACAGCAATATTTAATCAATATCTGATGGTATCACTCAGTCACAACGAGCACATCAATCAAGCAACAATTGTACAAAGACTTTTCGAATTCCATTCGTCGTGAATGCTATATTTACATCAAAAGAAGAGCTAGCCGATCTCGCGGTCTATGGAAGAAAGAGTATGGGGGCGTCCCATCAAAGAAGAATACGTCTCAAAAAGGACCAACCATGAACACCAGTTCATGCAAGAAAGATCGACTTGCGACCATTTGTCGAAAGCGCTTACAAGTTGAAAGCGCGGGCGTGGCGGCGAGCCTTGGAGGCAGAGCTGCCGGTGGCGGTCTTGAGCCACTGGATGAACTGCTCGATGGTGAAGGTCTCGGGGAGAGCAGAGCCGCTGCCGGTGGAAGGAGCGGGGGTGGCAGCGGGCTTGGTGGCAGAGGGAGCAGAGGGAGCGGCCGACTCGACGGGAGAGGGAGTGGCGGAGGGAGCAGCGCTGGAGGCGGGGGTGGAGGGGGCAGCCGACTCAACAGGCTTGGAGGGGGTGGAAGGGGCGCTGCCGGCGGTGGCGGCGTCCCAGACCTTGGGACCGGGGACGGTGTAGTCGGTGGCACCACCGTAGATGTTGAACATGACACCGGGGTCGGTGGCCTTGTAAGCCTTGGTCATGTCGACACCGGTGGCGGGGAGAGCAGCAGAGCCGCTGCCAGTGACCTTGATTTGACCGCAGCCGTTGTAGAACTGGGCCTTGCCCTCGGCGCTGGCCTCGTGGAGACCGATCATCTCGGGGCGGATGAGGTAGTCGCCAGCCTCGAGGTTGGGGAGGTCAATCTCCAAGAGTCCCTTGGAGGAGATGAGGTTATCAACACCCCACTTGGAGCCGGTGAGACCGTCCTCGTAGATCTTGGTCCAGACGGCGCCCTCGCCGTTGGTGTCGGCCTTGGCGATGTAGACCATGACGGGTCCCTTGTGGGAGGGAGCGATCGGGTCGTCACCGTCGCCAGCGGAGGCGGGGTCGTTGTGGTGCCATTGCATGCCGAGCTTGGAGCCAGCAGCAACCTCGACCTGGTCGGAGGTGGCCTTGCCACCGTTGCAGATCATGGCAGTGGAGGTGACATCGAGGATGGGGTTGTTGCCGTTGGAAGGAGTCTGGACAGCGAAGTGCTGGCCCTGGTCCTTGCCGTCAATGACGAAGCTCTGGAAGGTGGTGTGCGCGGCGGCGAGGTTGGCAGCAGCCAGGATGATAGCAGTCTTGGTGAACATGTTTGCGGTTGGTGTGTTGGTTGGTTGGTTGGTTGGATTTGAAAAGGTTGAGCGTATCTTCAAAGATAGAATGGAAACGAATGAATGATAGACGAATGGATCGAAAGTGAGTGTAATGCTAAAGAGCGTGTGAAAGTGAGTGTCAGCGTCAAGCTTGATGCCCTCTCATTGTCGATGGCCTCTGTATCTCTTATACTCCCTCCGCCTACACGGCACAGTTGCGCCATGACAAGATTAGTGCCTCACTGACAGAATCCTGACAGCGCCAACGACATGAAACCCGGGTCTGTGGATTGATGCCAAGCACCTGTCAATCTATTCAGCACTGCGCTAGCGCCCGAACCGGAAGCGTGGCTTCGGTTAGCTGCCGCAGAACGTTGAATCCAGGTCTGCTCCGTTCCTACGCCCCATAATATGTGATGAGCTATTGTCAAGGAGAGATTTGAAGGCGTCGCCTCCATGCATGTGCCTGGAGGTGGCCTGTATCAGGCGTTGCGCAACGAATAACGGGAGAGCCTCACGGGAAACGTGAAACCATGTCGAAAAAGCTTGATCGGTTGAAGTCTGGCTATCCCAGGCGTTTAACGAAACGTCATGCGCTGAAGCGCCAACATGTTCTGCTGTCAATGCTACTCGCATCCACATGTTCGCAGTTGATTGTTTGCTTGTGCCATAACGTTATGTCGGAGACCGATTGGTACTTACCGCTGCGTGCCCCCATCGTCACCGCCACACTACGCAATCTCCCTACTCTCCATCCCTTATGCCACCGGTCTACAATGACTCTCATTTCGTTGATCCGGTATTCTAGATCCTGCAGTTCGACGGGAAAGCAACCTCGGTGGTGGGGCGAAAACTTCGCTAACGGTGTATTCGTTTGCGCGACGACATGAAACGAATGCCTTCAGTGGGGGAAATTGCGCGCCTGTACCTGCCAAGACAATGGTGATGTTTCGACACTTCCGAGGCATCGCTTTAGACAACACCGTTTTCGCAGTCGAGTCGTGACGCCATCTTCGTTTTGCTTCAGCACGAAAGAACCACCGGCTATACTATCGTCTCGCATAGATAGTCGAAATGCCGCACCCGTGCTTCGAGATAATGTAAAGTGCTGCGCCGCTTGACGAATGAACGGAGATGAGGCGCTTAGATGAGGAACGCAAAAGGAACGCAAAACGCGCCCTTGCGGTATGTTGTTTTTGTCGTTTGTGGAGCTGAGCGTTGCGCCGATGCACGTTGTCGCGTATGTGCGTAGTGGCTTGCAGTAACATTACCGCCCCGTGGTGGTGGCCTTCTCCAACATCAATTGAGAGTCCCTTCACCTTTAAGTACCTGTTCGACACTCAAAACGTGCTCAATAGTTCTCATTGTCTACCAACCATCCCAATCCCTGGGTATTATTAACTGATGCGCCACTCTCTAACTGGTACCTCTTCCATCTACCAGATCCTGTCTTTGACAGGCGTTTTGGATGATGAGGTCGTTGCGCTGCGATCGTGCATGTGCCGCCGCGAATGGATTAAACGCCGATGATGATCTTGTTGTACACGTGGTATCACTTACCGGTGATAACCCGAGGACGCCCAAATAATGCTCATTATACCCATAGAAAACCATGAATCCATGTCGAAAACCGTTCAACATGCTACGCACCCTGAAGCAAAGCAAGAAATGATAAACAGTGCAAGCAACATTAAGCTCGGGTAGTCCGAGTGGGATGCTGCGCCCTCCTTCGTACTCGTCGCTGTCGCCTGTCCGTCGGGCTTACTGGCCCTTGCGCTTGGACTATTGGTGGTTACGCTATGAAGGCGGGTCGTGGTAGCGGGAAACAACGCGCTTTTTGTAGTGCGTCCTGAAGATCCGTAAACCAACTCCGTCGCCCCCCACGCAAGACTGATCGTTGTGCCATCGACGGTAATTGTGCCTCCTGGCGTCAAAGTCTGTCCTTCGATGATGAAGACCGTCCCACTCCCCGATTCTGCAGTGTATGTCTGCGAACCAATAGTGAGCAATGGAGGATTGGTGATGGCGGGCTGGGCCTGCGGCGAAATGAAGCTGGTCTTGCCGTTGACGACCAAGGCTGTAGCTCCGGGTGCGAGCGAGATCGTGACACCTGAGACAACGATCGAGCCCCCCACGGTAAGCAGTCTCGACCCGATTACATAGGCAGTGCTAGTTCCTGGGAGCGGCCCGAATGTCAGATCTCCAATGGTCAAAGGAGGCGCTGTAATTTGTGGAGGGGCTGGAGTAGCCAATGTAGATGTAACGCCGTTGATCACAACGAATGATGCCGATTGAGCGAGTGACAGTGTAGTGCCCGAGACGGTAATATCTGGGCCACCAGGAACGAGTGTTTGGCCATCTATTACAAAGGTGGGCCCTGAGGGCTCTGGAAGAGCACCGATGACATCATCGCCGACGGTGATCGTAGGAGGTTTGCCGACCTGTGGAGTAGGAATAGCGAGGGATGAAGTAACCCCGTTGACAACAACGAATGAAGCAGAAGGTGCAAGCGATATTGTGGTTCCGGAAAAAGTTATGGCTGGTCCACCTGGAACGAGGGGTTCATCGCCAACAACGAAGGATATTCCTGGTGAGGCCGAAATGGGTGTGAAGACATTGTTACCAACATTGAGAGTCGGCGCCGCTGGGTTCGCTATCACGGATGTGACGCCATTGACCAAAACGAAGGATGCTGATGATGCCAACGAAAACGTGGTACCAGATGCAGTGATTGCCGACCCTCCAGGCACCAGTGTCTGACCTGCGATAACGAATGTGTTTCGCGGATTGTCAAAAGCAGGGAAGACGCTATCGCCGACAGTAAGTGCTGGTGGCGTTACGGCAGGGACAGCTGGGATCTGTATCGTCGAGGACGCTCCATTAACCACCAGTACGCTTCCCGAGGGTGCTAGTGATAGCGTGGTGCCCGAAACGGTAATGGCAGGAGCACCCGGAGCGAGTGTCTGCCCCGAGATAACGAACGTTGGGTTAGGTCTTTGATTCTCTAGGCCGTTGAAGTTGTTAGAACTTTCTTGGGCTGCTTGTGCTGCGATCGTTGAGCCACCGACTACCAGTTGTGGCGGACTGTTTGGAGCTGGTGATGATCCGGGTAGAACTTGGGTGGAACCTCCGATGACCACGAAAGAAGCCGACGGTGCCAAACTGACGACGGTACCATCGACAGTAGCAACACCTCCAGGAGTGAGGGTTTGCCCTGGACCAACGAAGAATTGGGTAGCAGCGTTGGGTGTGAGTGTCGTCGAGCCAATCGTCAGCACTGGTGGAGGCCGCGCCGGAGTAACTTGCGGTAGCCTAGAGGTACTGCCATCCACAACGATGGCCGTAGCCGATGGCGCAAGAGAAACCATCGTCCCACCTCCTACGTTGACTGGGGCTCCCCCAGCTTGTAAGGTCTGAGAGCCGACAACAATTCTTGAAGAAGGACCAACTACGATGGGTCGTGTGCCCACAGAACCAACAGTAACTCGAGTGAATTCTGGAGGATTGACCGCATTGTTATTCTCACTGCCGCGTATCTTAGTCGTAG